GAATGATGAAATGAAAATCTAGCATGTATAGGCTATCCTGTGATTTCATTTCTAAGTGTTTCCAAGTGGTATTAAGCTAACCATGGTGCTAAGGATGGTATAATGGTGCACTCCGATTGGTATCACGCTTCAAAGGTCCATCTTTTATACCTTAGCATCATTTGGTAGACATTGACTCCTACATTTTCTATTTAAGCATATGTGCAAGCTTCAATCTAAACTCTTAGCACATATGTAGGGGGAGCAATTGCTACCATTTGGGGTTCATGAAACTTGTCCATATCCTTTTACACATGGTAAATATGCTTGGACAAGCAACATGAATTCAATTGAATTTTAATTCATATCTTTGTATAAGGGTTGTCATCAATTACCAAAAAGAGGGAGATTGAAAGCTCTAGTTTGGTTTTGGTGAATTGATGAAACCCTAAGTGCTAACCAAGTTTATCAAGTGATCATGAGATAGGTAGCACACTCCAAGTGGTGAAGCAAATGAAGATCATAGCATGATGATGATGATGGCATGGTGATGATCAAGTGCTTCGACTTGGAAAGAAGAAAGAGAAAAACAAAAAGCTTAAGGCAAAGGTATAAACCATAGGAGCTATTTTGTTTTGGTGATCAAGACACTTAGAGTGTGATCACATTTAGGTTTGATAGCCGTACTATTAAGAGGGGTGAAACTCATATCGGAATGCAGTCATCAAAGTGCCACTAGATGCTCTAGCTCATTGCATATGCATTTAGGATCTAGTGGAGTGCTAACACCCTTGAAAATATTTGTGAAAATATGCTAACACATGTGCACAAGGTGATACACTTGGTGGTTGGCACATTTGATCAAGGGTAGTGAAGTTTAGGTGCAAGGGTAAGAAACTCCACCGACGGAGTGTCCACCCGTAGAGTGCGTACAGTCCGACGGTGCCACCGGCGCCCTAGACAGTAAAGACGGAGGTCACTGAGAGTGACCGGACACTGGCCTCGGTTGGACCGGCGTGTCCGGTCAGATGTAACAGCGAAGACGCTGGTGTTGGTCAAACGACCAGACGCTGGCAGGGTGCGTCCGGTCAGTGCTGACGTACGCTGACGTGAGGCGCTCAGATGAGACGTTGAGGGACCGGACGCTGGGTGAGTCCGGTCGGGCATGACCGGACATGTCCGGTCGTGAAAATTCGTTTATGGAAGCTTACTGGAAACGACCGGACGCTGGAAGCTCAGCGTTCGGTCAATTTGTGCGCTGTGTCCGGTCAACAGATGACCGTTGAAATCTGACGGACATTATTTGAAGCAGGGGACACGTGGTGTGGATCACGTGACCGGACGCTGGGGGCCAGCGTCCGGTCGATCGGATCGGAGCGTCCGGTCACCCCGCGTTGTGCCCAGTGAAGGGGTACAACGGCTCTATTTCGTGGGAGCTTCTATTTAAGCTCCATGGCCGGCTCAAGCTCACTCTCTTAGCCATTTGCATTGACATAGCAACCTTATGAGCTTAGCTAAAGCCCTCCCACTCATTTCCATCATAGATTAAACATCTTTGTGAGATTGGGAGAGAATCCAAGTGCATTTTTAGTGTTTCCATCTAAAAGCACTTGGTGTTCGTGTTTCGCTGTGGTATTTGCTTGTTACTCTTGGTGGTTGCCGCCACCTAGACGGCTTAAAGCAGCGAGGATCGTTGAGCGGAGGGTGGTGGTTGTCTCTGGCTCCGATCGTGGTGATTGTGAGGGGTTCTTGACCTTTCCCCGGCGGAGCGTCAAAAGGTACTCTGGTGGATTGCTCGTGGCTTGTGTGATCCTCATCTTGTGTTGGTTGTGCGGCACCCTATTGAGGGTTTGGCGTGTAATGCCAATTAGCGCGTGAACCTCCAAGTGAGTGAATCACCACAACGAGGACTAGCTTACTAGCAAGCAAGTGAACCTCGATAAAAAATCATTGTGTTCATCATTGATCCCGAGATGATTGGTCTTCATTGTTATTTATCCTTGTGATTGATTGGTTCCTTCATCTACATGGCGGTATAACTTTCTTGATCACTCTCTTTACATTACCACAAACTAGTTGTCAAGCTCTTTAGTGTAGTTAGTTGTGAGAGCTTGCTTGGTTGGTTGGTGTGGCTCTTTAGTTAGCTTTTGAGAGCACATTAACATATAGTAGTGTCATAGCTATTGTGTGGATATAAACTAAAATTGTGGTATGTGGCTTGCATTTTTAGTAGGCTAGCGCAACACTTGCTTCGCCTCATAATTGTTTAACCGTTTCGTTAAGTGTTGTTATAGAAATTTTTATTAGGATATTCACCCCCCTCTAGCCATTAGGACCTTTCAAAGGGGTGGCCGGGCCGCTGCCGGGCCGGCTGACTCGGGCCGGGCCGTGCCGGGCCGGCCCGGGCTGGCCACGTGCCGCCCACGGGCCGACGAAAGATGAGCCGAACCGCGGCCTTCTTTGCCTCGGCCGGGCCAGCCCGGGCCCGCATGGCACCGGGCCGTGCCGTGCTTGTGTCGGGCTAAAAAAGCGGGCTTCGTGCCGTGGCGTCGTGCCTCGGGCTGCATATGTACTGTAGGCCGCATGCATGCGCGTGTTCGATCCAGTTCCCGACCGTGCGGCCACCTCAGTCCGCTCGATCACCAATTCAACCATTAGCATACGGTAAGATGGACGCCACGTGCTCGTACGTTTCTTATAAAAAACATGTCCGTAGTTCCAGTAGGAATCACAATATATTAGAATCGGACCGCATCATTAGACACGAGTTGTTCTAACACATATGAGTATAGATCTAATATATTTTGGAATGGACTCTATATCACATTAGACAAGAGCTATTCTAATCTATATGAGCATGGGTGTACGGAGGAAGCTCTTCATTGTCTAGTAGTTAGAGGGAGACGAACCAAAAAATGGATGTACGAAAAAATAAGCTAAAATTTTGTCTTTTTATTATTAGATATAGATATAGATATAGATATAGATATAGATATAGATATAGATATAGATATAGATACAGATACCTAGGGTTATTAGATGGGCTGCTAATGTAGTGGGCTCAATGATTTCGGGGCTCCAATGGGGATCCGTGGGGAAAACTCAGATCCGCCCCAAACCTGCTACTATTCGGGTATCCGAACCCGAAAAACCATAGGTACAAAATTGTTTCCCGAAACCAAAACCATTGGATCCGAAACCCGCGGATATCCGCCCTCAATCCGCTCCGCTGCCATCCTTATACCTTTTGGTTCTTATGAAAAGACTAAGTTCCATCACCTCCACGAAACTAAGTAATACTCTCTATTGTCGTCCCTCCTTTCTGCGTTCCCATTCCAAGCTCCCATGTGCACAAGTGTTTGGAAGAACGGGCCTCCAGAACCACCGTCCACTATGACAGCTGCATAGGTAAGTGTGTGATAGGTTTTGGAGAGAGCTGGACGCGACTTCTCATGGTTCCCATTTCTAGAGATTTAATGGATGTTCCGGTACATGTCGAGAAGGTACTTTTGGGGGGAATGTCTGTACGGCATCTTTTTTGCACTGTGTCAAGCATTGCGCTATATGATCGGTGGGAGCAATGCTACAGGTGTCTTCAGCACGAGTCTCTTCTGTAGGTGTACTTCTATAACCTTTCCAGTTGTTTTGCTTTTTTATATGATCATTAAGTTCGTTAGCATGAAAGTAGCATTAGTCATTTGACAAACAAAATTACACATGTACATATTTGTGATGAATATTTTATTGGTTTTGTTTCGAATAATGTCTAAATTTGTCACACTATGTGTGAAAGTAGACATATATTGTCATAAAAAAGGTAGACATAGATGTAAAAGGTGACGGTGGACGGACTAGCTAGACGGATTGGATGAATACAGCACGTCGTACGTAGGATTCATCTCTAATGTACGTGTGTTGGGCTTCCTTAGAGCATCCCTAACAAATTATTTATCATACTCTTAATATGAAAAAATGCTATATAGGAGACCACCGGACTTATCCGATAACTGTCAATAGTAAAACAAAGTTAATTGGAGCGAAAGGAAAAGGGGCAGACAAGCTCCGGTGCCAACTCCGTTGGCCGGTGAGCGCAAAAAGCTCCACCGAGCTCCACTGACAAACCTTTTTTAAATAGGCTATCTCCAAAGAGTGTCCCACCGGACGGCAACACCTTTAGCACTAATTTAGTATTTTTTTAAATATTTTCAAAAGTTTGCACTTGTTTCCTCACCACATCACTAGATGATCTAATGAGTACCCACCTAGTGACACTTAGACAATCATATTAGCCAAAAAAAAAAAAATTCCTCTTTATAGTACGAGTATTCTATCCTAAACTCGACATTTCTCTTGGCCGATGAAACAAAAAAACTATAGGTTATTAATTACAACTATTTTGTATGTTAGTCCTTGTATAATGTATAATATTTGATTGAGATGTTAGTCGGATTTTTTTTTGATATTGGTAGGATATGTCCAACTAAATTGTCATATATCAGATATGAGGCAGATAATGGTAAAATTGAAACTATATTTGGTATTCGCAATAAATATCCGTATTTGTATTTGATATCCAAATTTTTTGATATATTAAAAAATATATCTAAATAATCTTGGTCAGAGGGTCGGTTAGAAAATATCCATTTCGTTGACGCCCCTATAGTCCTATGCACAACTCTAAATAAAATCTTTTAAGATTTTTTTTAGAACAAATTTTAAATCTTTTAATATTTGAACTAGCTTTAATTAATAGGAAAATTAAAGGTCCACGCCACAAACTAGTGAATATTTTTTAATTCACTTCTCGCAAATATATATGCTACAGACACTGAAATTTTACATAAGGTGAACACAGTACAATACGGGGAGATCGATTGATCTACATCCTATAGCTAGCTAGCTGCTAGTAGTTATTCACATGCGTGCTTGAACAGATGCTCCGACCCACTTTTGCTTGGCTTGCTTCCTTTTGTAGCCACACGTGCTACACTCACATGCATGGCGCGCGGTGTAGGACTCGTTCAGTCGTTCTCATGATGCTTGCCACCTAGATCTTCAGGTGCCTCAGCCTGCGGAGAAAGCAGAATCTGGATTAGCTACATGCAGACTGAGAACTCTTACGCAGGAGATTCTAGTAGTCTACAAACTGGAAATGATGTGGTAGTAACGCGAAAACCAATGGAATAACGGATAGCTGTCGGCGTCATAGCCGGCGGGGCACCTTGCCGGCTTCGATGTGCTCCACGTCCTTCACCAGCAGCTCGTAGTAGCGCTTGACCTCGTCCGCCGACTTGCCCCCGACGGCGCGCGCGATGTTGTGCCACCGGTCCGGCGTGTCCCTGTCGTACACCGCCAGCGCCTGCTCGAACAGCTTGTTCTGCTTCGCCGTCCACTGCGCCCTCGACGAGCTCAGCGACTGAGATGCCATCTGCTGTGTCGTCTGTATATATTTCAGCACAAGTTAGCGCGAGCTGAGCGAGAGCTGGGGACAAGGGAGCCTCGCTCTTGATCGTTGCAGCTGGCTTTGGCTTTGTGTGTGGCATGCATTCTGAGAAGAGAACCGTGAGATGCAGTGCTACTTATAGGGGCCCTGCCGGTGAAGCATAGCATGGCGCCTGTGCCAGGTTCCCCTGTGGGGCCGAGGGAAAGCAGGAAGAATAAGGCATCGGTGAGCTGGAGCGCGGAGAGCCAGGACGAGTTGTGTCCCTGGGAAGTGGGGGATATATCTCGGCTTCCTTTTTATCTCCTCCCCTCATCTCTTTCCGGCTAGATACATGGATGGATGGGCACTAGACAGTGGACACAGTCAGGTCGTGTCGTGACCAAACCATGCCCAATTGTACTGAATCTATGTCAACTTATGACTGGTCTCTCTGCTTAGGGCACTCGTAGTAGCTGCTAGACATGAGGTCCTCTGCAGACTGGCTAGCGGCGAGGCAGCTGATCACAAATAGTATATGCCAAGCTTCTATTTTTCTCCGTTTTCCGTCGCAAAATGTTTCTAAGTTGTATTACGAGACAGATTTTATCAACTACTCCCAGGCAGCAGGTTGGCCCCGACTCCAACCAAACCACCACAAAATATTTAGGCCCTGTTCAGTTCCTACGGAACGGAGGACTGTAATTATTCCTAGCCGTATTCCTTGTTAATTTGTATAACCATTGTTGAACAGGAATGATTCCTAGGCACAATCCTAACTAACCGAACAAGGCCTTAGGATTCCAATTCCATTTTAGAGGTGCATCACCATACCCATATTGACACTACTCATTTGAATTAGTTTTCTAAAAGTTCCATTTGCAGTGAATTTCCACTAGTTGCGATGGACTCTCAAATTTTGAACATGAGAATTTTGAGATATATGGCCATTTGGCCGTGTGTGTACTTCTCTTAAGTAGACATATTAGTATTGACGATAGATTGATAGCGAGACTACGTACCATACAAGTTAGTCAAAGTGACTTTTTTATGGGAGCGAACAATCTGTAGATACCAATGACAACAATGAAAAAAACAGCCTTTTCATAGTAGAGCCTACGTACAAGGTTTAGAGTGCGCAAGCACACACTTTATGGCGCGTGATAACACGTAAAGATGTAGCTATACTAACTTAACTACATTTTTAATTATTTCCTCCACCATGCACTTAGTTGGAATAATCTCCAAACAGCTAGTTGCAGAACAGTATATTCTCCATGACCAGAAAGATAGCTCTTGTATTAGAATCTATATATTGCCTTTTGATCTCCAAATAGAATAATATCACATTGAAGGGCCCATCCAGGATTCGGGTGTTTAAAATTTTTCTTTGCTCCTTTTTACAAACTTTCAGTTCGGTATTCTAGATTCTATGCCGCTATGCTGAATCTAATCTAGTATCCATTTCTCCCTTTTAGACTATTCAAAAGTAAGCGAAGAAAATCGAACTCATGTGGGCTTGGTAAACATCAACACTCCCCCCCTCACAAGGAGACTCATCATTTAGACCTAAAATGTACAAATATAACCCATAATTGTATATATCTGGATTTGAATTCAAGATACCTCTGTTTCTGATACCATATTTACCCACATGCATTGACTAATTCAACACAAAAGCTAAAAATGACAGATAATGCGACAATTCATCATACACATCAACATTTTAATTTATACCCAGTACATATGCTAGTAGACACTACTATGAAAATCTTTTAAACAAATGGTGGCCAAAAACAATTTTCATAGGTTGGGTGTTCATCCCACTACTACAGAATTGAACATCACTGTCGGCCTCATTACTGCCGGATTTTAAGAAACCGACAGTGATAGTCCATCACTGCCGGTTTTTGGCTAAAACCGGCAGTAATAGGATCAACCGACACTGATATTCGGATCTTCACTGTCGGTTCATATCACTGTCGGTTTTAACCAAGAACCGACAATGATATTGGGTCATCACTGTCGGTTTTAACCAAGAACCGACACCGATACTATCACTGTCGGTTCGTGGCTTGAACCGACAGTGATATGCTACAAGAAAACTTCCTAAGTTTCTCATATGATGTCTGATGAAGACGAACTTTATATCAAAGTTGTAGTACTCGACGAGATCTACAACTTTGTAGTTTAAACTTTTTTAATTTGAGATCGTTTGGATGTCCAAATATTTTTATTTGAAAGCATCTATCTAACGAAAATTACATTTGATTTTTAAAATTAAAAATTTGAATTTTCAAACGACCTTGGATGGAGAAACGCAAAAAACCAAATTTGTAGATCTCAAAAAGTTATGCAACTTTGTAATTGACAACTTTTTCATTTGAAATCATTTACTACTTCAAACTGCTGTTTGAAATTAGATTTTAAAATTATTGAAGAACTCTGATTTCTCTTTTTAATCTGTAGCTAAAACTTGTAACTAGTCTTTCTGCCTCATACTAACTTCAAATTTGGTGATTTTTTTCTAAAAAATTCTAAAATCATGCTCTATCAATTTATTGTGTTCTTACAGCTATTATTTTATCCATATTTTTATGTGATTGTATTTTATCTATTTGAATTTTGAATTTTAAAAAAATGACAACTTCAAACGTCATTTTGGAACACTAAATGATTTTAGCTGAAAAAGTCATAAACATAAAAGTTATAGAACTTATCAAGATTTACAACTTTTATTTTAGTTATTTCTTCATCCGATAAAGTGGTAATGACATTGTTCACAAAATTTACATCTCTCTTATAGTTTCATAAATAAGAGAGATATGTAACATTTATGAACAATGCTTCTACCATTATGTCGGATGAATAAATGATCAAATGACCAAAATAAAAGTTGTAGATCTCGGAAAGTTATGAAACTCTGTAGTTGACAATTTTTTTATTTGAAACCATCTTATCAAGGAAAACTATGTTTGAATTTCTAAAATTTGAAATTTAAATTTTGTAAACGACCTCGGATGAAGAAACTACCAAAATAAAAGTTGTAGATCCCAAAAAGTAATGAAACTTTGTAGTTGTCAACCTTTTGATTTGAAATAATCTTGTTAAGGAAAACTACGTTTGAATTTCCAAAAATTTGAAATTTGAATTTTTTAAATGACCTCGGCTGGACAAACAGCAAAAACGAAAGTTGTAGATATCAAAAAGTTATGAAACTTTATAGTCGGTAACTTTTTTATTTGAAATCATCTTGTCATGGAAAACTATATTTGAATTTCTCAAATTTGAAATTTAAATTTTGTAAACGACCTCGGATGGAGAAACTACCAAAATAAAAGTTGTAGATCTCGAAAAGTTATAAAACTTTATAGTTGACAACTTTTTTATTTGAATTCGTTTAGGATCCTAAATACTTATTTTAAAATTAGATGAACATAAAATGACTAGGACGAAAATTTCATTCAGACACAAACAACTTGCAGGTGGAGTGGTTAGGGGCTGAAGACATGAAGGAGGAGTTCAGGGGTTCGAGCGCCAGTGGCCACGAAGCGTGTATTTTTCGCTTGAAAAATCTTGTGACTTATGACTTGAGACGCGTGACCGTGCGGCTGTCCAATTGATCTCTCACGAAATTAAAAAAAATCTTTATTTTTTCCGCCTATTTTTGGATTTCCTAAAAACCACATCAGTGTTGGTGATGTCAACCCCACATCACTGTCGGTATGCCACTGCCGGTTCAAAATATGGCAGTGAAGGGGGATTTTAAACCGGCAGTGATATCGAAAACTGAGGTAGTCCGCATCTATATAATGGTTTGTTTTAATCATGCCCATCTCTAAAAATCATTTAAAATAAAAAAATAGGGGCTATTGAGCTTACTACCGAACCCACCACCGAGCTCATTGCCAAGACATTCCCGATCATGCACCACACTGTGTCCTCTACCATGTCATCTTCAATGCTGGTGCTCTCCTCCACCATGAAGACCTATATGGGCGTTGCGCTCCCCTCGTGAAACCCACCATGACCCTGCACCATGCACCCTACCATGAAGCCACTAAGTTAATCTAGCACATCGCACGATCACCATGAACAAGCAGCAAGAGATCCTATGCTTATGTGGACGAATAGGAAGATGATCGACATGAACCCTACCATGACGGCCGCCAAACTCTCCACATCGTCCCTGCCGGAGGCCGTCATGGGAGAGTAAGGTGTGGGAGCACCCGACGTTGTGGGAGATGTAGGTAGGTGCAGTTGGCATCACGGGGGACAAGGGAGTGGAGGCACGTACATGGCCTTGCGAGAGAATAAGAGAGACCGGGGGTGTTTTGCAGCAACGTCGGCATAGAGGCCCGACATAGCATTGTGGGGAGGACAAGGAAGAGAGAGAATGAAGAGGAGAGAGTTTGGCCAGCCGATAAATCTTTATAGGCCTTAGCTGGGCTTTTTTTTTTAGTGGCGGGTTTGGTAAGAGAGTTGCATATGAAAATAGGTTTTATTTTCAAAGATGTGTTTTGTCCACTAGACCTCTATGTTTTCTAGAGGCGATAGTTAATCTGCCATTCTATGTGAATTATACTATAAGTCTTTTGAAATCATTGTTGTAGTAGTGAAAATTTAGAAGTTACAATAAAATAAAAGAACACACGTTACACCCCGCTATTGCACCCATCCGTATCGGCCTACCGTTGTCGATCAGCTCAAGTATCAAAGGCCCATCCACCGATCCACGCAAGCTTGGAAGCCGACGCGGGCCAGGGTCGCTATCAACTTGTAGGTCTACTCAATGCTGATGCTGATTAGCATGAAATTTCTACGTTGCATCCCGGTGAGCGTGCAGCGTATGTTCCCTTAAATATGCATGGTGTGGTAGAAATGTTTCAGCCAATTTGAGAACAATATGGCCAGGAAAGATGAGTGACAGCAGAATATATATCGTGCATAAAGTAGTGATATTTATGCGGAAAATGGCCATAGATTTGATTCATCTACACGTACATCAT